ATACTTTGAAAATTTTAATAAAAATCTTTAAAAAAAAATAAATAACAGGCGATAATGTTCATCACATTGCTTTGTAAAGTTTGACCTGCTGATTTCTGCAGCTCAAACAAGTAGAAGTGAGGGGTGCAAATCAAGCAGCCCTACTTTGAAGTTCTCAGGGTCTTTTCCTTTCTCAGAGTCCTGGTCTAACTTGGGGAATCAATTCAGTAGTTGGGGTGCCTGGCAGGCTCAGGGGAGAGATTGAACTAGCAGTTTCACAGAGACGCACCCTCTCTTTCTTCAAATAGATGGGATCAGGCTTGAGGACTTACTGTCCAGAATTATTCTTCAATCAGAATTTGGTTAATGTTTGCTTGCTGCACACTAAGACTTCAGTCAATGATTGTGTAGCCCAGTCAACCGTTGCAGCTTTAGACTTCTAGCTACAAAGCGAAAGTTGGTGATTAGTCAGCATAAAAGTTCTAAACAGAACTCAGCAGGGACATGTCATAAGGAACTGAGGATTATATGCACATGCACCCCAAAACGAGCTTTGTCCCCTCATATCATATATCTTCATAACTGGCAGACTCTCCCTATTGAGATCCACAACCATTCTCAGCAATGAAAATAATTGGTTTTGCACACCTGGATGCACATGGCATTTTACAAATAAGTAACTGGGAGTGTGCAAGCCAAACTAAGGTTTGGGCCGCTCCATATCATACCCCTCCTACAGGAGAGAGTCCTCTACAGATGACAAAGAATTGTGCTTGGCCCAGAGCTTTGTTTAGTTACCAGATACCATCAAGCACAGCATCTCATGTCTACTATAGCCTGGATATGTATACATGGATAAGGAACTGGACTGTGCACCCCACAATAAGCTTTGGGCCAGAATTCTCTGGCTATGGCAATATGCAATGGGCCAAAGCTTTTGTAGGGGGACAGTTCCTTTTTAAGTTTTCCAATGGAGCTGTGCTCCAAGCTCTTACACAGATAACAAACTAGGAACTAGGAACTATAATCTTGTCCCATAGATTAGGTTCATAGGAGCCAACTTCTAGAGGCCAAGGGGTCTTCAGCCCCTCCAAAAATATTTGAGGGTGCTGCCTCCCCCCAAAGTTGATGGGCATTGCCATTCACCAGCCACTACTGAAAAGCACCCAGTGGTCCAGCAGGGAGGGCTATGAATGATGGCATAGCTGCGATGGGCCAGTGAAGGACACTTCTAAACCACTGGGCCCTCAGCTAGTGCCCAGTCTGGTCCTGACCGGATTGCATGCCTTATCACTGAGTCATCCCATATAGACCCAATATAACAAGGAGCAGATATGTAATTCTCTCAGTAGCAGTTTCAAGGGTTGACATTTGTGTGGGTTTAGTGAGGTGTTTTAAGAGTCCATCAAGGGGATGCAAGTTAGGGGAATGTTAAGTCAGGGGAAGGGAAGGCTGGGTCAGAGTCTGTGGGAATACTTCATATGCACGCCAAGAAACCAAAGTTGGAGAAGCTCTGGCCCGAATCATAGAATCATAGAGTTGGAATAGACCACAAGGGCCATCGAGTCCAACCCCCTGCCAAGCAGGAAACACCATCAGAGCACTCCTGACATATGGTTGTCAAGCCTCTGCTTAAAGACCTCCAAAGAAGGAGACTCCACCACACTCCTTGGCAGCAAATTCCACTGTCGAACAGCTCTTGCCTGTCTTGCCCAGGGACTCCCCACATCATGCTCCCATACCAGCCGGACCCACTCTTCCCAGGCCACGCCCCACTGACCCTGATTCACACCTTCCTGTTGTGTTGTGGCTATTTTGAAATATTTTTAGATGTTTGTGGTGCCTCTGAATGCTCTTAAAACCTTTTAAAATACGTTTGAATTTTGTCTTTCTTTGCATTGTTTTTCCACTTTGCTGTTTGCTGCCCTGGGCTCCTTTGGGAGCGTGGGCGGGTTAGAAATGTAATTAATAAAATGCTATAAAATAATGCATAGTTCCATTCCAAGAGACCCTGCAGAGAACCCTGGGAAAGGACGCTTCCTTTGTCAGGCACCCGGTTGAGGCTTTTGCTTCCTGGTCTGCAGGATGCATCAAGTGTGCTCAGCAGCGAAGGCTCCTGGTGGAGATTCCTCTGAGAAACCAAAGCCAGGCACTTCCGAGAAAAGAACAGTTGCTGCTGTGCTGCTAAGCAACAGCTTTGGCTTGTCTTCGGCAACAAGGAAAACAAGGACCCAAGCCGAGCAACAAAAGGACGCTGGCAAAATGGCCCAGCAAAGCAGCAAATGCAGTTGTTGCCAGCAGTCTGGTGGCAAGTTGTCCTCACCCCCCTGGAGACCTCAATCCAGAACCAACACACTCCATGTCTGGATTTAGGTACAGCCACTGCAGCCTTGACTGAGGGGGTCTTACAACCATTCAGAAATCTTCCAAGGAAGATATGGGGAGGCTTGACACATGTGAGGGCTAGAACTTAGCTGTTTGCCTTGCTTTCAGAGTTGCTGTGCAATAAGGAGGCCAATACGTGATAACTAATCTGATGTGTGCAGACAGTTACACAGACACTTGGTATAATGTCCCTGGCTCTGAAATGGTTTGTAGCAGACTGGAAATCCCAGGGAAGGGATACCAATTGAATACAGGAGTGGCAAGACATGGTCAAAAGGAAAAGGGAGACCTTGACAAACTTACTGGGGAGTGGCTATAGCAGTGATGTCACTTGACCAACTTTTCAGTGACAAAAAGTAAAAAAGGTAAAGGACCCCTACACGGTTACATCCAGTCAAAGGCGACTATGGGGTTGCAGCGCTCATCTTGGTTTCAGGCTGAGGGAGCCAGCGTTTGCCCACAGACAGGTTTCTGGGTCATGTGGCCAGCATGACTAAACTGCTTCTGGTGCAACGGGACACCATGACAGAAACCAGAGCACACAGAAACACCATTTACCTTCCTACCGCAGTGCTACCTATTTATTTACTTGCACTGGTGTGCTTTCAAACTGCTAGGTTGGCAGGAGCTAGGACAGAGCAACAGGAGTTCACCCCATCGCGGGGATTTGAACCACCAACCTTCTGATGGGCAAGCCCAAGAGGCTCAGTGGTTTAGACCACAGCACCACCCGCATAGCCAGCTTTCTTGTTCCCACCACAGAGTGGCTGAAATCCTGTCTGATTGGTAACTCGGCACATCTGTCCTCTGTAATACAGTGGTACCTCAGGTTAAGTACTTAATTCATTCTGGAGGTCCGTACTTAACCTGAAACTGTTCTTAACCTGAAGCACCACTTTAGCTAATGGGGCCTCCTGCTGCTACCGCACCACCGGAGCATGATTTCTGTTCTCATCCTGAAGCAAAGTTCTTAACCCGAGGTATTATTTCTGGGTTAGGGGAGTCTGTAACCTGAAGCGTATGTAACCCGAGGTACCACTGTATCTGCTACCAACTTTGCAGACTAAAACATAACTCATCATGATTGGGTCAGCCCCACGTGCTATGTGTCTTAGTTGTAGTCACAACATTGTGATATTGGAGACTCAGCAGTGTGTGTGTGTGTGTCCCCAAACAGCATTGCTTGTGGGTGTGGAAGGTTTCTTCCCATGTTCATCCCCATCGAGGGCCCTTCCTGCCACTTGTGTCTTTGCTCAGTGGATGATGTGGTTGCAACTCTTTTTGCTGAGTGATTCAGACATATTTCCTCTATTTCTAACTGCTAGCAATATTCAGTTTTGCCACCACTAATACTTTTATTTATCCTGCATCCGTGCTTCCCTGCAGGGGTGCCAACTTGAATAAAATATTGGGGGGGGGGCGCTAGGCAAGCCCTGCACCACATAATTGATTACATGATGTGGTGCACACACACTATTTGAATGGCAATGCCCATCAACTGGGGGGGGAATCCCCTCAAATATTTTATGGGGGTCACAAAGACCCCCTCAGCTCCTAGGAGTCGGCTCGTATGCTTCCCCTTGAACTTGAGCGTCAAGTTCAGATTTAATTATAATTGTCAAATTAGATTCAGAGAATTGCTTTGGAATACTGATTAGCATTACAAATGCCAAACTGTGGATCCCTCAAAATAAACTGCAGATTCACAACTAGCGGGTGCTCAGCTAAGCAGCTGCCTCTGAAAACTCTTCATGAGCAGAACACCACAGGGCTGGCTGATGCTTCACCCTGCTGGTTTTTAAATTTTATTTTAAGTAACCACGTGGCAAAATAAAAGAAACATTAAATGTTAGGTCCTCTCTTGGCCATCATGCCAATGGCAAATATCAGGTGAGGCCTATGCAGCAGATTGGAACTCCGATGCAATTTCACTATGAAGCAACTGCAGTGACAATCTCAGATCTGGTCAACGGCTAAGCATGGGATTTGCTTATTCTCTTAGCTTCATCCCTGTCAGCATCCTGAAAGAATTGCCTTAGAAGGTACCTGCAATTAACCCAGCAAGCACATGTATGGGCAGCTAGCCTAGTGGTGGGCAGCTTAGCAGCTTAGGGACTCAACCTTTTCCCCACTGCACTCCTGGAGAAGAAAGAGTCAAAGTGAGCAGATAGGAAGGAAAACCAATGCTGAAGAGGATGAAGCACTCACTCTCACTAGTAAGTGCTGTTGTTTCTCACCTCACCCAAATTTCATGCAGTAGAAGGGTGAAGATGGGGAATGGTTGCTTGATTTGCTAGCAAGCAATGGAAGATGTTGGGTTGGGGTCAGAGGGGCTAACTTGAATAAAATAGGGGGGCAGGTAAGCCCCACCCTGCACAATCGATCACATGTCGCTCATGCACACCATTTGAATGGCAATGCCCATCAACTTTGGGGCCCCCCGGCTCAGTCAAATATTTTATGGTGGGGGGGGAAGGAATCTCAGCTCCTAGGAGTTGGCTCCTATGGTGGAGGGTGGGATGAGCAGTTAACCTTCCAACACCTATTCCTGTCCAAAACAAGCTGCCAGTAGAAGTAACTGCTGCTGACCTAGCCAAAGCCAGCGTTAAATACCTGTGCAAATGTCAGCTCTTCTGTGGTCTCTTCACCTAGATGACAAACTCAGGACTGGTCAATGGCTAAGCAATGGCTTCATCTCTGCTGCTACAGGTGCAGAAAGATGGTTTGCTTCTCCCTTCTGAAGGTGATGATGTTTGTATTCAACGGCATAATATTTGTGAGTATGCAAGGGGGATGGTGAGTATGCAAGGTGGATGGGATGCGGGTGGCGCTGTGGGTTAAATCACAGAGCCTAGGGCTTGCCGATCAGAAGGTCGGCGGTTCAAATGCCCGCGACGGGGTGAGCTCCCGTTGCTCGGTCCCTGCTCCTGCCAACCTAGCAGTTCGGAAGCACGTCAAAGTGCAAGTAGGTAAATAGGTACCGCTCCAGCGGGAAGGTAAACGGTGCTTCCGTGCGCTGCTCTGGTTCGCCAGAAGTGGCTTAGTCATGCTGGCTACATGACCCGGAAGCTGTACGCCGGTTCCCTCGGCCAATAAAATGAGATGAGTGCCACAACCCCCGAGTCAGCCACGACTGGACCTAATGGTCAGGGGTCCCTATACCTTTAAATGTTGCAAAGACAAAACCACATGATTCCATTCAACTGCATATGTCTTTTATAACGGGGCATTCACTGGGGAGAAATAGTGATAGGAAGGGATGCAAATGCACCCCCAGGCTTATTGCATTGTCTTCTGCACCCCCTCAACTGGACACAAAGGCCAGGAGAAAAAGGCAAACTGGCTGGGAAACATAGGTGGGAAAATTTGCCCGGGAGAATTGGCAAGGGGGGAAATGGTCAAACCCCCTGTGCTACCTGCAGATCTTTTCCTGCAGATACCCCAAGCCCTGTATTTACTGGCATACATGTGATTAGGAACATGTATTAACATGTTAACATCCTCAAAAGTGGATGTTAAGAGTTAAGGAAGCTGGAAACCTCTCTATATGTATAAAAGCTAGCGGAATGACAGAGTTCCCTGCAGAATGACAGCGTCCTAGATGAGAAATGGCACCTTCTTACCCCTGTTCTCTCCCTTGCCTGTCCAGCTGGGGGGCCTGGCTTTGCTGGGCATCGGCATCTGGGTGAAGGTGGACGGCAGTTCCTTTGCGAAGGTCCTGGGAGCTGCAGCTCCACAGTTAATGCAGCTGATCAACGTGGGCTACCTGCTAATTGCCGTTGGCACCTTCCTTCTTCTCATGGGCTTCATGGGATGCTGGGGGGCCGTGAAGGAAAGCAAATGCCTGTTGCTTGTGGTAAGTCAAATAAAACCTCAGAATTAAAAAGTAAAAGTAGAAAAGAAATGGATGTTGCCCTCCCACAAAAACCTAATTTTTGCCCAGTGTGCAACATGATAACCAAAGCTGGTAATGTTTGCTGTTGTGCACTTCCAGGGATTTTTTTTTTTTAAAAAAAGGTGTACACTTACAGGTACAGAAATACCTGCATGCGTGCATGCCCAGAACAGAGAAATTCTCCTGGAGGTTGGGGAAGGAGTGATTGAAGGAAGGGCCTAAAAACACAGCCCAGGTATATTCTGTTAAGCTTCACTTGTTGGTAGGGATGGCATCGCAGAATAGCAATTAATATCCATGGCTTAAAAAAACTAGAAATGTGCAAAGGTGGGAGGAACTTGTCACAGAAAAACCTGATCTTTATGACTCGTTTGTGATATAAGGCTCCCCTTTCAAAAGCACCTTTAAACTTTCAGTTCTATTGAGAATGAGTGAAATCTGACCTTTCCCATAGGTGCACACAGACTCTTTCGAAAGGCTATTGCAGAGAAAGAAGAGCTTAGGATCTGCCACATTTGGCTCCCAGGAGAGCTGAACTAATTAGATTTAACCAATGTTAACAAGACTCCCTTGGTCAGGTGGGCGGTGAACCTACTTCCTTTGAAGTTTGAATTCACTGAACATATTCATAAGTGGTACAAAGGCCTCTCCAATCTAAGTTCTTTATAAAAGATCATAATATATAACCACCAGAGTTTTAAAACTTCAGAGGTAAAGGGTCAGGCATAATTTATAGGTGACTTAAAGGGCAACTGCAGATGTTATGCTAAACCATAGTTTAACATTTCGAGAACAAGCTGCCTTGGGTTTATGTGCCCCCAGCCCCATCCCAGTGCAGCCACAAGCAGGAGCCCGGAAGCTGGTGAAAATGAAGGCAACGTTTTTCTTCCCCCAGACAAATTGTAGTACATCTTTGTTTAAAATGAGCCAGCTTAAAACCATAAGATTCTGAAGCTGGCTTGTTTCTACAGAGCTAAGATTAACCATAGTTTAGAAGCTGGGTTAAACCACAGAGCCTAGGACTTGCTGATCAGAAGGTTGGTGGTTCTAATCCCCACAATGGGGTGAGCTCCCATTGCTCGGTCCCTGCTCCTGCCAACCTAACATTTCGAAAGCACGTCAAAGTGAAAGTGGATAAATAGGTAACGCTCCGGCGGGAAGGTAAACGGCGTTTCTGTGTGCTGCTCTGGTCCGCCAGAAGCGGCTTAGTCATGCTGGCCACATGACCTGGAAGCTGTACGCCGGCTCCCTTGGCCAATAAAGCGAGATGAGCGCCGCAACCCCAGAGTCGGTCACGACTGGGCCTAATGGTCAAGGGTCCCTTTACCCTTTACCTTTATAGAAGCTGGGTAGCATTCTAAACAGTGTTTTTTTCAAATTCAGTGGTGAAAACTTCTTTTTTTCCCCCAAATTTTTTAAAGTGTTTTCCAAAATTTTTAGACAAACAAACATACATCTTAATTGTACTTGATCCAATCTTAGTAACATTGTTAAGTGACTTCCTCAAATCCCCCTGGCTGAATTTCAGTGTATATCATTGTAACAGTTTTCCAAAACCTATTTTCTCATAAAATTAACTTCATCACTTAACCTCTTACTTTGTTTTCATTTTAAATTTAAACATATTATTCTCTGAAATTACATAATTAAATCCTAAGCCTATCTGGAATTTGCAAGTTTTTCCAATTAAGCTATCTTAGCATATTTAACTAAATAGTCTTTAAATTTCATCCATTCCTCCTGGTACTCCTCCTCCTTCTGGTCGCGAACTCTTCCAGTCAGGTCAGCTAGCTCTGAAAAGTCCATCATCTTCATCTGCCATTCCTCCACTGTCGGGACTTCTTGTGATTTCCAATTCTTAGCTAACAAAATTCTAGCTGCAGTTGTGGGAAAACTTCTGATCTCTTTGTTGTGCTTGTGGCACAGGATGTGGAAGGCCAAATTTCACTACAGCTTGCTCTCGTGCTAAAGAGTGGGTAGTTGACAGCAACTAATCTAAATTTCACCTTTGTATAGTTGGCTAGTTTTACACACACTCAAATGCACCCCTTTATCTTCCACCCAGAGAAGTAACCGGTATCATCAGAGTTCAAAGACACATTCCAGTCAGGCAAAGACACTTGACGATGTGAAATAGGACCAATGAGGGGTGTGGCAGAGGAGGTGTCGCCTGAGAAGAGTCCCAAGGGCCAAATAAAGAAGTTTGGAGAGCTGCATTTGGCTCCCAGGCCTGAGGTTCCCCACCTCTGTACTAAACTATAGTCCACTAAGATCTGTACTGGGGACTGATGCTTTTAAACCTATTAAATTATCTGGGGTTAGATGTTAGTAGTGATGTGCCCAGGTTTGCCCTGTTATGTACTGAGTTGAATAGGATCCAAATGCAGCAGTCTGATTGGTCCTAGAACAATAGGATTCACAATGCAGCAGTCTGATTGGTCCTAGAACAATAGGATTCACAATGCAGCAGTCTGATTGGTCCTAGAACAATAGGATTCACAATGCAGCAGTCTGATTGGTCCTAGAACAATGCAGCAGTATGATTGGTCTGCAGGAGCCACCCAATCCAGCTCCAGGTGGAAGTGAATCCGCAACCTGATTGGCCTACAGGAGAATCCAGGAATTAGCCAATCACGTACAGCCCATTGTGTAAATAATGTATATAAAGCAGATATTGTGGGGGAACTTTCATTCCTTACCACTATGAGCTGAATAAAGAGCATGAAATCCACACTCGACTCCGAGTATATTTCAGCCCATTACCTCAAATTGCGTTGATGACTTTAAAAACAGCATGAAAGTAGAATGGAAATATTTGGGCTACGAATATTTCCATAAAACTTGGTACTATCTTATACAGCAACATGTCCAGATGTTGGTAACATTTGATTGGTTGGTAACATTTACGAATGTTACCATAAAACTTGGTTTACATCAGAGGAAGAAAGGCACCATGAGAACAAACCTTTTCAAAGGCTTTCTAACCTGAAGTTCTAGGCCATTATATGCTGCTGTCTTGAATGTCTTCAGGTGAAGAGAATGGGCAGCCGTTCCACTTTGAGTCCCCCAAGCTCCGAGTAATACTCAACTAAATGTTATTCACAGTTCTTGCTCAACTTCATTATATTCATTAATTTCAACGAGTCTCCTCTGAGTAAATCTTCATTGAATAGCACCCTCAAGTGATCTCTCCCCTGGCATTTATGAGCTCTCTCCTTTTTTTGCTAATTGTGGATTCCTCCTCCCTTTCCCTCTGTTTCCAGTTCTTTGTGGTCATACTGATTCTCTTCATAGCAGAAGTGGCCGGTGCTATTGTGGTGCTACTCTTCTCTTCTGTGGTAAGTCAGTGCTAGCGTCTGGAGTTTGTGGCTTCTGCAATTCAAATTTTGCAGCAAAAGGATCCCTGACTAGAAGTAGAATCTGTGTTGTTTACCGACAGGAGGCAACACAACACCACCTCTTAATTCTCACATTGTTTCTGGATTAAGGTGTCCCACTAGCCTATGAAAAATGCCTGGGGGGTGGGCAGCACCAGATTTAGGGTGATGTGGGCAGTTCCCCTGCACAGGGCATATAAGAGTATGATATAGTGGACGAGAGCATGCACAGTATGAAAAGGGAGAGGGGGAAGGGTGCCAAATTTTATCCTTGCTCAGCACACCATATTATGAAAGCCTGCCCCTGGAAAGGGGGAGGGTTAGCACCCCCTTAGCATAAGCAACAAAGAGTGGCACTTAGTAGCCAGCAGAAGCTAAATAATAATAATAATAATAAATTTTATTTATACCCCGCCCTCCCCAGCCAGAGCCAGGCTCAGGGTGGCTAACACCAATAAAATCACAGTAAAAGCATAATAGGGAGGAAAGAGAGGGGGGGAGAGAAAAGGGGCGGGGAAACCAATTTAAAATACAGGTTAAAATGCAATTTAAAATGCAGCCTCATTTTAAAGTACAGTGGTTCCTCGGGATGCGAACAGGATCCGTTCCGAAGCCCTGTTCACATCCCGAATGGAACGCAAGACGCGATGGCGCGTCTGTGCATGCACTGGTCGCGTTTTGCCGCTTCTGCGCATGCGCGCGACGGCATTTTGAACGTCTGCGCATGCATGAGCGACGAAACCCGGAAGTAACACGCTCCATTACTTCCGGGTTGCCGCGGAGCACAACTCGAACGCGCTCAACCCCAAGCACATTCAACTCGAGGTATGACTGTAGCTGATAAATCAAGACCATAAGGGGAGGGAAACATAAGGGTCAGACCGAGTCCAAACCAAAGGCCAGGCGGAACATCTCTGTCTTGCAGGCCCTGTGGAAAGATGTCAAGTCACACAGGGCCCTAGTCTCTTGTGACAGAGTGTTCCACCACATCGGGGCCAGTGATGAAAAGGCCCTGGCCCTAGTTGAGACCAATCTAACTTCCTTGAGGCTAGGGACCTCCAAAGTGTTGTTATTTTTGGACCTTAAGGTCCTCCGCGGGACATACCAGGAGAGGGTATTAGAAGGGCTGGTGGGTTTTCTTGTGGACTGAAGTTCCATAAGGTGGGCACCAAAACTAAAATGCCTTTGCTCCGTGCTCAAATGATGCTACAGCAAATGATGAAATGCAGAGCAATGTCTCTCACTTGTTGTCAACATTTAAATAGTCCTTCCTGAACAAGAAAGGTCTTGTCAACCTTTCCCCATGTCTCCTCTTTTTGGGGAGTGCTGTCAGTTCCTCAACTCTGTGCATGAGCCACTCATCTTTTCCTGTGGTTCCTGACTTCCTGCTGTCTCCCCAGTCCTTTAGCCTCTCTTCTTCTGGGCCTCCTCCCCACTTAGTTTCCTAGCTGTCAGCCTCCAAGTGCACCCTATATTTGTGTTGCCTCCTGCTACAGCACTCTTCTTGGCTGGGCACTATTTTCTTCAGCCAAATTGATCTTTCTATTTCTAAAGCTGTGTTTACCCCCAACATTCTGTTTCATTATATCCGCAGCATTCAGCATGTTTGTGAACATTCCATGACTTCCATAGCTCATCCAGTGTCAGAGAAGGACAGGCAACAGTTTTAACCTGTTGTATAAAACATGAGTGCAAGGAAGTCCTGATTTTATGGTTTTTTATGGAAGTTATGATTTTCTTACTCACCTGTCTCCTGGCTGCAGGCAGATATATTTGTTGAGCACTTGCAAAATTGGGCCCTGAAGACTTTAAAAGAGGACTACGGCAAGCAAGAGGACATCACAGGCATTTGGGCAACTACAATGAAAGAGGTGAGTGAAGTTTGTTGTTGTGGGCACCCATCTATCTCGGGATAAATCCTAATTTCTGGTGTTGTAAGACAGAGGTTTTGAAAGAGCCTCCAAATACTTTTTGAAATGTTTTGAAATGTGCCTTGAGCTTTGTGGACGCCGTAAAACTCAGTCAAGAGATTTATTGCTTGATTGGTCATAAACGCATCACAGTAGCACTATTTACAATCATTATAGCAACAGCTTTAACGACATACTTAAGTTTCAGTCCCTCTTTCTGTTTTGAACAGCAAGACACAGGCAGACACCGTCTATAGGTAGTCATGACGCAGCAGTTTGCAGACAGCATCTGTTGGTCAGTCGCCTGCAAAAATCGAAAATGAAAGTTCTTTTATCGGCACTTCCAGCTGAAGCTGCGCATGCCTGGAGTACCACTCCCACTTACATATGACTGTTCTGGAATCTTCTCCCTGTTTCTGGATGAATGACTCCATAACAGATAGTCCTTAACTGGTCTCCTTCTTTTTGTGGCAGTTCAACTATCATCCGAACAGCTGGTGTAACCAGTTTTGTGATTGAAGGAAGGTGAACACGTGTGCTTTTTTAAATTTTATTTTTTACAGAGAACTTCTTTCTTGATGCTTCCTGTACTTCAACACTAAGACTGTGTTCACAACACCTCCATTTACTGTGCACTCACTCGTGTTTCCAGTGCTGGCTTTTTAAGCCATGTCCACAGGATGTTGCCCAAAATGTTGATGTACCTTGTACAGTGGTACCTCAGGTTAAGTACTTAATTCATTCTGGAGGTCCGTACTTAACATGAAACTGTTCTTAACCTGAAGCACCACTTTAGCTAATGGGGCCTCCTGCTGCTGCCACACCGCCGGAGCCCGATTTCTGTTCTCATCCTGAAGCAAAGTTCTTAACCTAAAGCACTATTTCTGGGTTAGCGGAGTCTGTAACCTGAAGCATATGTAACCTGAAGCATATGTAACCTGAGGTACCACTGTACTTTGATTAAGATACTGCTGCTTGATGTGTTGTTTCTCAAACCAGCTTCACAAAGATTGGAGTCCTTAAGTCATTCCTAATTCAAATAGCCAAGGTGTGCACACCTTTGCAATGGATAAAGGCATTCCTGCCTTGACAGCATCCCCTGATGTGAACACAGACAGAAATAAATTGAAGCTGTGCTTTTGTGAAGAGCTGGGGGGTGGCAGAGCTGTGAAACATGGTGTGGGGGACAATTTCATGGCACTTTAAGGCAGTAATGAAAGTACACCTTAAGCCAGGCACCCCCAAACTCGGCCCTCCAGATGTTTTGGGACTACAACTCCCATCATCCCTAGCTAACAGGACCAGCGGTCAGGGATGATGGGAATTGTAGTCCCAAAACATCTGGAGGGCTGAGTTTGGGGGTGCCTGCCTTAAGCCAACAGAGCAGGAAGCTGCTCTGCACAACTGCTCTCCTTAGATCAGTTTGCCCTCCTGATGTTGTACGACTCCAGCTCCCATCATCCCTGACCTTTGGCCATGCTGACAGGGGCCAATGGGACTTGTAGTCCACATCTGGGTGGGCACCCCATTGCGTGTCCCTGCCCAAGCATTTCTTTTTTGTTCAACAGCTGCTTCCCAATCTCAAATGTGCATGTGATATAAAACGGCTACTATAAAACAAGCTCTCGTTTCTCTGTTTGTAGCTGAAATGCTGTGGATTCAACAACTACACTGATTTCAACAATTCCTATTTCTATCAAAAACACACTGAGAAATACCCCTCCTTTTGCTGCTCAGACGACAAAGAGTGCCAGGAATCTGGAGTAGACCACGACAAACAGGTAACTTGGCTTCCCAGAGATCACAGACAGAGATCACATGCATTAGTGTTATTGTGTGCCATGGGCCACCTAAAAAAAGGAGCTTAAAGCAAACTCAGCCCCATCAATCTTTGTGGCAGGGAAAAACAACTGGCAAGCCAGAACCTTCTGGGTCAACTTCTACTAATCTGGAAAGTAAGAAATGATAGTAGGAGTTCTCTTCTGTCAATAGAGAAGTTCAGAGGCCAAAGTAGTTTTTTTGATCTGGCTGAAGTTGGAATCATCCATGTGTTACAATGGGGGAGAAGAGTGTGGAGGCTGCTTACATGTTTCTGAATGGTGCTGATAGTGCTGCTAACCAATGAACTGGTTTATTTGTAGCAATGAGTTCCAGAGGTTATTATGATCTGGCAGTATTCAGAATGGATAGTCAACATAATTGCAAAAACACAACATCCACCAACCACGGGTGCTGTTACAGACACACTGAAGAGATATTTATTCCCCAGCTGAGGAAGGGAGGCAAAGTCAGGGCAGCACAAGAAACATACTGGCTTCTATGGTGTCTGTACCAATATGCCAACATATATTAACCAATTTAAAAAAACATACAAACTTCGTATAATCCTCCAATTTAACCCTCAAAGCAATATTTTATGTTCCAGAGCTCCCAAACGTAGTGCCTTTAAAGACATGTAATAATTCTTTTTATAAAAATGAATTTCTTATTGTTAGAAAAATAGTTAACAATATAATTTATATCTTTTCCCCCAAATTGTTTTTATTGAATTTCAGAATATTAACAAAGACAAAAAAGGAAAGCAAGTTTCTTAGGCATACCAAAACTAAAGTAAATCAAATTCATTAGAATCTATCAGCTCATCCAAAAAAACCACTCCAACTCTTTTCTACCAGACAAATAATAATACACTTTACCATTAACGTTGCAGCCTTTTAGAAGGCTCTGTCTTTTGCTGTTATGCCCTATTCTTCTTATTAAGAAAAATCCATGAAGTTACATCTGCTGGCAACCTGATCCAAGAACTGGTGTGTCTATAGCATTACTAAAAGTCAAGATATGTAAGCTTAATATGGAAGTATCAGTGGTAGTGAGCATATTTCTGAAGCAGTCTCTTTTGCATCATGTATTTATGTCTCCTTCCAGGGCTGCCTGAATGAATTCCAGGTGTTTCTGAGCCGCAATGGGAAAATTGTTGGAGGGGTGGCTCTAGCTATTGGGGTCCTTGAGGTAAGCTCACACATATATGGCTTGATCACCCCAGGTGCTTCCAGAATGTCAGCATTTTGCATACCAGAACATTAGGTTTGTGCAGTTTAAAGCGGATTAAAGGACATTGTTGTACAAGTCCACAAAACAAGAGCTTTTTGTGGTTTTGTAAAGTGCCAGGGAAATGCCTTGAAAAAAGGGTAGGATAAACAAATGATTAATGGGGAGATGCTTAACAATCCCATTAGTAAATCAGGATGAATGCTCGTTGGCATAAAACCACCCCATAAAGAAACCGGAACAAATGTTCAAAAAAGATCAGACATAGTCCAATGGGACTATGTTTCTCTAGTCCAGGGGTAGGCAACCTAAGCCATTCGCCTTCTCAATCCAGCCCGTGGACAGTCTGGGAATCAGCATGTTTTTACATGAGTAGAATGTGTGCTTTTATTAAAAATGCACCTCTGGGTCATAGGGGCATAGGAATTTGTTCATTTATATTTTTTTTCAAAACGTAGTCTGGCCCCCCACAAGATCTGAGGGACAGTGGATTGGCCCCCTGCTGAAAAAGTTTGCTGACCCCTGAGCTAGTAGCTCCAATATACCATCTTGCCTAGGGGCTCCTAAGGGGTTGCTGCATTTCAGCAAGGTCCCTGACAGTGCTTTTTTTTCTAGGAAAAAAAGGCACCGGTATGCACCATTCAAGGAAGGGCTCTTGGCACTGGTGGATGAACATGGGGGCAGGGGGAGCGGTCCATCCCGGGTGCCATTCCGGGGGGTGCCATCACATGAGTAGAATGTGTGCTTTTATTTAAAACGCCTCTCTGGGTTATTTGTGGGGCATAGGAATTCGTTCATCCCCCCCCCAAAAAAAATAGTCCGGCCCACCACATGGTCTGAGGGACAGTGGACCGGCCCACAGCTTAAAAAAGGTTGCTGACCCCTGATCTAGTCCCTAGAGTACTACACTGCTTGCTAGTGAGCCACTGCACTGCTAGCATTCAAGGCCCTAAAGGGTTTGGGACCTCAGTACCTCCCCCAATATCAACCACCTTGGACTGACTGTAGATTGGTGGTGCTGCCATTAGGAGTTGCCCGGTTGGCAGAGACCTGGGGCAAGGCCTTCTAGGTGGTGGCCCTCTGTTTTTAGTATGCCCTCTCTAGTGAGGTGCATCAGTCTTCCTCACTACAGTGGTACCTTGGTTCTCAAATGCCTTGGTTCTCAAATGCCTTGGTTCTCAAATGCCAAAAACCTGGAAGTAAGTGTTCCGGTTTTCAATTGTTTTTTGGAAGCTGAATATTCGATGCAGTTGTCGGCTATTGTTTCCGGGGCACCTGCACCAATCAGAAGCTGCGCCTTCATTTTCAAACATTTCGGAAGTCAAACGGACTTCTGGAACGGATTAAGTTTGGCGCTTTTGTTTTTGCTATTTATTTTGCGTTTTTGTTTTTGAGGCTTTTTTTGGTTTTTGTGACTGTGTGGAACCCAGTTCAGCTACTGATTGATTGATTGATTGATTGATTGTGTGACTGCAGAAATGGATAAAGCCCCCCATCTATACAATGACTATCATCAGTGCAGGTAAGGGAAAAATAATAATTTTAAACTTTATCATCTACAATACCGTCTTATTTCTTTTATAGTACAGTACATTGATTATTGCTTTTATTTTATGGGTCAATGGTCTCGTTAGATAGTAAAATTCATTTTAGGAGTTGTTTTTAAAAGTTTGTTTTGCATTACTTTCTATGGAAAAGCGCGCCTTGGTTTTGGAACACTTTGGTTTTGGAACGGACTTCCGGAACGGATTAAGTTTGAGAACCAAGGTACCACTGTGCTAACATTTAGGAGAACTTTAAAACCACTCCTGTTTGCCCAGACATTTGATGGTTGAAAGTTATGTCCATGGCAACCCCGAAATTATTAGTTTGAAAGGAGGTGATTGCTTTTAGGAGTTTTAAACTATTTTTAGGAGTTTTAACTGTATTGTTCTGATACTGACAAGTTTGCTGCCGTGGGCTCTTCTGTGAGAAGGTGCAGGATGTGTATATAAACAGTATCACTTCCATGTGAACTTTGGGCAGTCTATTACCTCCTCCTGCTGTAACCCAGTTTCCAACTGATGTGTTTGCAGGAAATGCTAGCGTCATGACGAGATCGTAAAAATGGCCAACAGCATTGTTCCATGTCTCCCAGGGGGGTCCTGTGTGTAAAATGCTGCCTCACCTGTCCTTTTGCCCCCTAGCTGGCTGCCCTGGCTGTCTCCTTGATCCTGTACTGTCAGATTGGTACATACGCCTGAAGCAAAACTGGCTACCTACCGCACAGCTCTGGCTCCAGCTCTCGGCTTCTGCACCAGCCATGAAAGAGACATCGCAAGCACCCTTATTCAAAGAGCAGATGCGGCAATCACTTTTACTGGATCCAAAGAGTGACATGATCCTCATCCTCATCCATAATTATTAGCTACTAATCCATCACTAATCATTAAACCCTAGTTTAACAGTACTTGCTTAAAAAAAAACCCTGAAAAAATATGTACACCTATTGTTTTGTGCTTCCTTTGCTTTAAGGTAAAAGGTAAAGGTACCCCTGCCCGTACGGGCCAGTCATGACTCACTCAAGAGGCTGGGGGCCAGCGCTGTCCGGAGACACTTCCGGGTCATGTGGCCAGTGTGACATCGCTGCTCTGGCGAGCCAGCGCAGCACACACGGAACGCCGTTTACCTTCCCGCTAGTAAGCGGTACCTATTTACCTACTTGCACCCGGGAGTGCTTTCGAACTGCTAGGTTGGCAGGCGCTGGGACCGAACAATGGGAGTGCACCCTGCCACGGGGATTCGAACCGCCGACCTTTCGATCTGCAAGCCCTAGGCGCTGAGGCTTTTACCCACAGCGCCACCCGCGTACATAGTGGGAAATCCAAGGGAGTCTTTACATCAGGGGTTGGGAACATCCAGCCTGTGAGCTAAATATGGCCTCCCAGGACTCTCCATCTCACCCTTGGGACTCTCTCAGGCCTATTCTGCACCCTCCCTGAATTCTTTTGCCTGGCTGGAATCTGTCCCTCAACATAATAATGCCTCTCATTTGTGAGGCTATAATTTGGGCAGACGTCTCATTTTTAAGGTCCTTTGGCTCTGGTGTAATAGAGAATGAAAATTTTATTATACTTCGTAAAATGGGTATCTCGCTTGATTATGGAAAACCTCAAACCTGCATTCTTGCTTTCTGATTTGCGATGTAGGCTGAATTGTCTTTTGATCTGTACAGGCCTGCTATCGTGTATGCAGGGCGATCAGGTGTGCAGTTTTAGTGAAGGGGAGATTTAAACTATACAGTGGTACCTCAGGTTACAGACGCTTCAGCTTACAGGCTACGCTAACCCAGAAATAGTACCTCAGGTTAAGAAATTTGCTTCAGGATGAGAACAGAAATCGTGCAGTGGTGGCGCGGCAGCAGCAGGAGGCCCCATTATCTAAAGTGGTACCTCAGGTTAAGAACAGTTTCAGGTTAAGAACGGACCTCCAGAACGAATTAAGTTCTTAACCTGAGGTACCACTGTGTGCAGTAATGGGACCTTAAATCAGGGGTGGACCAACTTTGATGGCCCTGAGGACCACATGAGAATGAGCCAGTGAGTTGGGGGCCACATATGCATGCAAACACACAGACATATAATCCCGCCCCCCAGCAACTGTTTTATGAACACACACACGCACTAGCTTCAGCATGTTCATCAGCTAGGTGGGGAGAAGACATATGAAGAGATTGCTGAGATCTCTTCTCACCATAGCTGTCAACCGTCCCTTATTTGGTGGGAAACTCCCTTATCCCAGCGCCGTGTCCTGCTGCTGTCCCTTATTGATGATATCCCTTAAATTTCTCAGGTTTCAAAGGAAGCAGCTCCTCTCCCTCCCTCCCTGCCGGCCAGGGAGGAGGGAGGCTCCAACTGTGTTGCTTGGCTGCGTTGCTCATCCAATAAGGAGTCTAAGAACGACCGGGGGGGTGGAGCTTGCATGCCTTGTGCCCATCAAATCGGCCGCGTTGCCTGGGGACTCGCCTTTGCTCAGCGCTTCCCAGCGGAGAGGTGACGGTGGTTTCCCTTGCTGCAACCGCCTTTGCCGGGTTGCTGCGCTTGAGGCTTCGTTTGGCTGCTGGCTGGGCTTTCTGCCTTTGGCTCGGAGGGGCTCAGAAGTTGAACATACCTGTGCCCGGAAAATCCCTTATTTTGGCTGCTGATCCCTTATTTTCGAGGCTGCTGGTCCCTTATTTTCAAATCTGTAAGTTGACAGCTATGCTTCTCACGCTTCTCTGCAGCCCAGTTATTTGGCACTGGACAGAGCTGAGGAGTACACCACTCGACAATGCTCCTCTTCTTTGGCGATCACTCGTAGCCGAGTAAGATTGTCTTCCATAAACACAGTTTTAACAGTGAGTCCGTACGTGACTGTGGAGGCCAATTCTGGTTCCACACATCCTTCCACAGTGGGGACATTGGTTTCCGGACGGGAGTTGATCATGGTGAGGGTTTGCTAAGTGTGCCTTCCTCTTAGCACGTTTCTCCCTTTCATCCTGAGTTCGAGCGTCTTCAAAGCCCATGACACCTTTGGTAAAGGCTGTTCTCCAACTGGAGCGCTCGCTGCCCAATCAGCTGGGCAGTGGGGAGGGGCAAGATGGGATCTCAGCAAATCACTTGTTTGCCTTCTTCCCAGTCCCCAGCTGATAGGTGCACACAATTGCACTACTCTCAGATGTGCGGCAGGCTGAGGGGAGCAGGATGGTGATGGGGAAGACGAAAGGGACAATCATCATCATGTGCCTTCCTCCCAACAGCTGAGGGATGCTGTCAGGAGTCCCAGTTTCCGACTTGATAACATAGCAAGCGTGGTTAACTAAAAAGGAAGATTTATTGCAAAAACAGAGTTCTCCAGATGGCTCTAACATGCTACCATTCTCATTAATCATGATGACCCTTCTGAAAACTGCTTCCAGCGAGACCAGAAGCAACTGAACTTACATTTTGTACTTCTTTTCCTATCTTGAAGCCCTCCCATTCGCCAAGACCTCAGAGAGATGGGGTCAGCTCCCTCCCCTTCCCCATTCGCTGAGAGGCTGTCTCTTAACTCTTTCCCACCTGTGTGTGCTTCCGGTGAGCTTTGACTGTGTTCTAGCTGGCTCCCTGCCATTGCCTTATCAGCCTGCATTCCAAGGGGCGGGGGACGATGCTCACCCTGCATGGCAGTTAACCCTCTCTGTTCCTGGCTGCTTCCTTCAATTGGCAGCAACCCTTCCCTGAGGGCTGGCTGCAAACCTTCCCTGGGGGTTGGCTCATTCATGACAGATGCACGAGTGCCACTGCAAAGTTCCTGTGATTTCAGGGAGGGAAGGGAGCTATGCAATCTGTTTGAGGCTGCATAGGCCCCTTGGGCAGAGCATTTTCTGTGGACTTTTTCTCCTCTGTGCCCGCCTGCCTCTGCTCCCAGGCCCTCCCCAGATTGCCAAAGTGTATTTCATTTCCAGTTTGTAATCCCATCTCAAATATAATAAACTGAGATTGTTGCAGGCAATATCTGTTGAAAGTACAGAAATTATTTGTTTAAGGATGTCAGCTTATTAAAGTACACTTAGCTGATTAACCAGCTGTCAATTGAAGGGTAGCATGCATATTTAATAAATAATAATTTTCATATGAGCAGAACTTCAGTATACTTTGTTGAAATATTTAATTAGTGAATGCTCCTGCTCATTGATAGGAGGGAAGCTAATCTGTATGTATTATATGACTTCATTTTTCCACATATCAAAGTAAAAAAAAAAAGTGTTTTTATTACAGTGTAATAAATAATAACCATCATTTCCCCTAATGATCATAATCCAGAACTTCCCTGATGTGTTGAGGTACCAGGTATCTAGTTCTACCTTCTTTGAGTAAAATTTATGTTGATGGAGGGAATGTAACATACAAGTCTGGCTTTCGATCTTGAGCAAAAAGCTCTACTTGGGTTCGCAAAATGGTGGAGAGATGGGAACCGGGATGTACCAATCGGAGAGGAATAACCACCACGTCCATCAAAGTACAAAGTCATCAAGTCCAATCTGTTTCCCCTTGATCAATCCAAACAAGATGGACCAATCCTTGGAGCACTACAGAGAACAAGAACATCCAACAACATGCTTCCATCACTCCCTCATTGTTTCAAGCCAGGCCCTCTTCTGTGGTCCCTGCCACAGGGAATTATTTTGTCCTGCTTGGCCCAAACAACCTTGGCAAGCAAAACAGGGAAGCTTGGTTGGCCTTGACCCATTATGAGACTGTATTAGAAGTCTGCTGTTTGGCTTCTGGTTCCGGTCTGCCTTAATGGAGGCAGCTCCCATGATAGTGGGAGATAATTGGCGAAGGGATAATTGAGGGTAATTATCCTTGAAAGTTATACAGGGACAGCGGGGAATGGGCTTCACTCGCAGTTCATCTCAGTACCTGGCTCTCGCTCCGGCATGGAATGCAGGAGGCAGGGAGGCGCTGAGTGCAAAAGCACTTCACCTGCCAAACCCTCCCCCCCCCCGCACTGTTATTAAGAAACAGAGGTTCTCCTGTTAGAGCTTAATTTGTGTTTTTTTTAAAAGATATTTATTGAAGTTTCAAAAATTATCTAAAAGAAAAAACAATAATACAAACAAAACACAAACAAAAACAAGTATAGTTTCAATCCCTTATTTTCTTATAACTTACTTCCCCGACCTCCTCATACCTCCCCTTTCTGTATTCCAATTTCTAATTCGTTAGTTCAGCAAATCCTCTCCCTTAATTTTATTTGATTTTTGACCTTTCTTTTCTTTTTACTTAATCATTACAGTTGACAACCACTTAATTTCTAAAATCAACATCGTTCTAACATTCATTAATTTTGCAATGTTTCCTGAGATAGTCTTTAAATTTCTTCCAATCTTCTTCCGCCGTCTCTCTTCCCTGGTCACGGATTCTGCCAGTCATTTCTGCCAGTCCCATATAGTCAATCACTTTCATCTGCCATTCTTCCAAGGTGGGTAGATCTTGCTTAATTTGGACTAAAGTACAGTCCCTGGATAAAGTACACGTGCTAGAAGAGATGAGATCATAAACTGCGGAACAGAACCAGCTGCAAGGTTGTTAAGGTCTGAACTTGAGAGAAGACTTCATTCAGTGTTAAAAATTGTTGGGGGGGAACTACGGCTTCTTTATATAAATAATAATAATTAAGAATAATTATTTATTATTTATACCCCGCCCATTTGGCTGGGTTCCCCTAGCCACTCTGTGCGGCTTCCAACAAAATATTTAAAATACATTAAAACATCAGTCATTAAAAACTTCCCTAAACAGAGCTGCCTTTAGATGTCTTCTAAAAGTCAGATAGTTGTTTATTTCCTTGACATCTGATGGGAGGGTGTTTCACAGGGTGGGTGCCACTCCTGAGAAGGCCCTCTGCCTGGTTCCCTGTAACCTCACTTCTTGCAGTGAGGGAACTGCCAGAAGGCCCTCAGAGCTGGATCTCAGTGTG